CTCTCCAGCTGCTCACTCACCACAGACTTTACAGCTCTCCTATGTGCTGGAATTACAAGTCATTAAAAAGCCACTTTGAAAACACAATAAAGACCTTCTTCTCTGACTACGACAACCTTCCATCACATAAAAACCTAAGGCCAATGCTACAACAGCAGGGCGCTTACTGCCAGCTCCAGACAGTTTAAGCAGGGCAAGAAACAGGGTGGGGCGCGAGGAAATGAGGCACAACAAAAGAGGGGAAGTTTCTTTTTCCTTCTCCTTCCTTTTTTTTTTTTCCTTTTCAAAAGAAACTTCTGCTGTGGTGGTTCGAAGTCTTTATCCTGTATCTGAACCACCACCCACCCTTGGGAAGAATGTTCCCATTGGATGAGACTTTGTATTTCTCCCTCAAGAAGACTTGATCCAAGAAAGCACTTGGGTAAGCCAAAACTCAAAAGACCTGATTACAATCTCTTTTCTCACACTACAGATGGAAGTATAAAATGTTTCACCAAATGTAATCTGCCCATTTTCTAGGAAAGATAATGAAAACTTTTAACTTCTGCATTTTTAAATTATCATTAAATTTCTACAAAACAAGGCAAAAAGAAGTGAAGGCAATGATAAGGAAATTACTATTATAACCAAATCCGATCATAACTGGTTATTTCAATTGTCTTTCACTATTTTTTTTTCCCTCCTTCTCTGCTATGAATACCAAACTTCCTCATATCACAAAACAGGATCAACTCAATAGAGAAAGAGTTATATAAAAAACAAAAACTAGGGAGTTCTAGGAGGGGTGAAAGAGATTTGGGTTCATGTTTACTGTCAATTAAAGTGTAAACAAGTTAATACAAAGCACAAATACAAACTTTTGGCTGATGTGGGTACACTCAGGTCCTCGCCCTTTCCTCGCTGCTGGCTAATGGTGTCACCAGTAAGAACAGTCACTTTCCATTAAGTGACCATTTTGGCCACAAAAAGATAAATTCCTAAACCAAAAATAGCTTTATTCTAAAATGGGAATTACCTAGGTTCTTGAATATAAAATATTCTGAATGCTAACATTTACATACATGGCAGAAGCATGTCTTTATCATGTTGTCTGTTTGCTGAACGCGCACCCACCATGAAACAGCCCCTCTGCCTCCCTATCCGCCTCCCCTTGCCACCTCCCAAATTCTGTAAGGGAAAATTACCGGTGGACTTTCATGTGACAATATTAGATTACTTTATAAAATGAGAAACATTTCAGGAACTGCAAAATATATTTTTAAAATCATTCAGTCATAGTAATAGTAATTCAAAGATAAATCATTTCTTCGTATGTCTTCTTTTAATAGTAACAGCAATAAAAAAAAACCCAAAACTACCAAGTGCCTACTGGATGCGGTGATAGGTATCTTCTTGTCCTTCATTTCATTTAATTAGGAAGCTAAAAGATCCTGGAAAATGTTGGCGTACCTACCTACATAAACACTTATCAACAAATATGCGATCCCTCCAAAAATATACAGGCACACAAACAGGGATGTACTTCTTCTTTTTCTCTTCTTTTTTACAAAGCATATAAAAATCTTAACCAAAAAGAACCATATGAATCAACAATCTAAGCTTCCTAGTTCGTATTAATAGCACTGATTTTTATTTTTATATAAAGCCTGAGTCTAACTTAATTATAAAAAAAGCTTCTTTAAAAAGTTCTTCCTTTTAATTGTAACTTGTACCAAGGCAAGATATTTTCTTTACAGGCATACCAGGTAAATCTTTTCCCCTCCAGCCCTTCCTAATTCTTCATATTCTTCCAATCACTTTTTGTGGCTTTTTTCTGTTTCCAAAGTCCACACTCTCTGCCCACTGTGTCTGAAATTACCTGCCACCTCAACTACCACAAATGAACATAAATCTGGCTCGTATCCAAATAATGAAGCTGGGAAGGACTTTAGAGAGATCAGGCCATCTGATCACACTCACTCAGATGCAGACAAGCTCACCAACCAGGACAACATGGACGGTTCCCCCTGAAGTTGGACCTGCCCCCAAACAACCACCAAATCAGTTACTGGACAAGGGAGGTTTAGGGCAGTTAAGGGCTCTCCATTATTATCGCCTCCTGTTCCTTCTGTCTTGCCCACTGGAGGGATACCAGGTAGGACACAAGGCCAAACAAACAAAGGCCATCTTTACTATTGGATAAAGGGAATTTTAGCCCTCTTTTATCATCCTTTGCTCACAGAAAGGTCTTTTGGGTCCTGGCTTACTTGAAACCACTTTTTTCAATTCTCTTCTGTTCCACTGCCAACATTTAGAGAATTAAACCAACAGGAGCAACAATAAAAGCATTACTACCTCCAGAAAACTGATAAGGAAAGCACAGTGATTGTGTTTTATACCCAAACAATACCTGAAAGTCTGTAAAGGCTTCCTCTGTAGTGATATGCAGAGCACATAAAAAAAAAACTCCTGTTACAATCACTGGATATGTAGCTCTGATGTTATGGATCATTTTGAAAATTTGCTATCTACTTTAAGAAACTACAATTCTAACTCTTTGTTCCAGAAGACTTTTCAAGGTATTATTTTGGGGGTTTTTTTGTTGTTGTTTTGTTTTTAACAAAAGTTTAATTGAGCCAATCAACGTATTATTTTGAATAAATATACCAAGTTAAACATGAAATTTATGAAAAGAAAAGCCATGCCTTATAAATCATATATAAAAGGAAGGGAGCAAGAAGCAAACAAAAATGAGAATACACAGAATAATCTAAACAGAAAGATCATCTGTGATATTTTCATGTAGAAAGAACATTCAATAGTACTTTATGAATGCCATTTGGTCTTCTCACAAATCAGTAAACATTCAAGAAAGATGCCTTTTAAAATTTTGACCATGACCTACTTATAAGAAATACGCACACACCCTTAGAAATATAATTTTCACAAACCATTATTTACCCATACTAATTATAATGTATTCTGATTTTTTTTTTAATACTGGTGATGACATGCTAAATTGATTTCATGGCTCACCAGTGAATCACAATCCATAATTTGAAAACCTCTGTTCTAGTAGAATAGCAACATGTCAGAATATAGAAAGACAAAGTTGTAAACCTGGGCCAGCCGAGTGGCGCGTTGGTTAAGAGCTGGCTTGGGATCCCACATGAGGGCCAGTGACACTGCCCTCTACAGCTAAGATGGTGAACAACAGCTCAACCTGGAGCTGGGCTGCCGTGAGTCTCAGGTGACGGCATAGGCTGCAGCCCCTGCTGCAGTGGGTTGCCATGGGCTACCGTGAGTGGCTGGCAGCCAGCGTGAGCTGCCAAGAGCCGTGTGAGCAGCTGTCCAGAGGCCTGTGACCGATTGCCTCACCTGGGAAGAGCGCAATGATCACAATACCAACATGGGCCAGTGAAGCAACGTCCTCCACAACTAGACTAAAGAACAAAAGGACAGCAACTTGTCTGTTCTCTTCCCCAACTCCCCAATTAAAAAAAAAAGTTCTGTAACATCTGCATTAACAGCAAGTTTTGAATTAAGAGGAGAAGTAAAGAGCAAGGGAGGAAAACTAAATGCTTGAGATATTGGGACAAACTCATTAGCTCTCAACTCCATTTCACTAACTATCACTACAAAGCCTTTACCAAACACTGGAACAAATTACCCAGTCTCCAGTAATTTATACGCTATTCTCCTCCAAATATGATCTTCTATTAAAATTTCAAAATTAACTATAGAGAGTAGTGGGGAAGGAGATGGTCTTTGGATGACTGGGGATTGGTACTGATGCCATGCCCTAACCCTAGGTGGCTTTCTACCTAGAACAGTGCACATGCAGGAGAGAGAATCTGCTACTGAGGTCCCCTACCCTGTCAGCATTTGAAGTAGGAACATTTGTGAAGTGATTCCCTGGGACAAAAGGGAAATAGAGTTCTAAAACTGCCAGCAACTTTTCGCCAGACATCTTCCTTGACCATTGTTTAGAAATATTGACAAGCCAAAGTAAGGAGATTTATTGGGACTGATTATGACTGATAAGTAATGGTAGAAGTCCAAAGTCAGAGAAAAAGGAAAAGCGAGGAGATGAATTCATGGCAAATAATGTTCATTCTCCAGAAATAGAATCAAATATCTTTCAAATTACTAACAGTCCTGTCACTAAAGTGTAAGATTTCTTACATTGGTAGGTTAGAATAAATAGCCCGAAAGTCCTTTCCAATTCTGAGAAATCTGTAATTATAAGTTTAAATTTCAACATCAGGTAACATTTTGTGGTGGTATTAGATGGTCTTTTAGGCACCCACAAAAGATAATCCCACTCATCAGAAAAAACTTATAATGAAGATCACATACCCCGCCCCTTTCAAATCAGTGGCTATACAATGAAAAAAAAATTAAATATTTCATTTTCAAAATGCCATTACTTGGTTTTACAGGCACATATTTTTGATAAAATTTATCAAGTTATACATTTTAAATATGTATAGGATATTGTTACATCAATTCTGCCTGGATAAAACTTTAAAAAACTATCACCAGTATTTTTCTCATCTGTGTAAACAAATGACTTCATTCTACTGATCAAAAAGATCAACAGTATAACAGCACCCTAATATTTTCTGAGTTTCTCCTTTGAATTTATTTTCCTTTGTATTCAAGTTTTATTGCACTGTCCTCACTTTCCTAAATCAGTAATCACTGAAAAGCATTAATGAGCTCATAACTAAGCTCCAATGAGCATCTGTATTCTTCTGCTGTTATTCAAATGATCCATTATTATATTATGGAATATATTTTTCCTTTAACAACTAAATCACAGCCTAAAAATCTGCAGATTTCTTAATGACCTCATTTCCTTCTTTCCATTAGTTAAGGAAATTCATTTCTAGGCACTTCTATGCTACCATTTAATGGCTCGCCTGTTAATTTCTTCCCTCATTCTTTATCCTGAAGCTATCTGAAAGGAAATCTGAAAACTAAGAAGGGAAAGAAGGGAAACCAACAAGACTACTCACGTCAGATTTAGAGGACATGTTCTCCTCCACGTCGGAATCATTCGGGTCCACAATATCATCAAATGGCGGTAAAGTTGATTTCTTCTTCTCCGATGTTTCACTCTCAATTTTGACCTTTCCCATCTTGACATGAGATTTATCTTTTATCTGTTTTTTGTCAGCAGAACAAGTGAGTATCAGTGGTGGCGCACTAGAAAAACTTTTAAATAAAGCCTCTGAGCTACTCTTTTTCCTTTTTTTGGCTGAGAGTTCTTCAGAATCTGAAATGGGGGGCCTTTTGCTGGGAGCCTTCTTCTCTTGCTGTCCACTGGTGATAGTGAGTAAGTTACTGTCCGGTTTTGGCTCTTTTGACATGGGTTTCGGTTCCTTGAAGGCCATCTTAGGGACTATTTTTTCTTCTTTCAGTGGTTTATTTTCTTTGGGTTTCTTAGAGGATTCTTTGGAAGATTTGTTGTGATCCCTGGAAGGTTCTTTGAAGGCACTTTTATGTTCTCTGGAGTCTTTAGAAGGTTTTTCCTTGTGCTCCTTCATTAATTTGTGAGGCTTTGAAAAACTGGTACTGCTGCTGCTGCTGCTGCTGCTACTGCTACTGCTGCTGCTGCTGCTGCTGCTGCTACTGCTGCTGCTACTGCTGCTGCTGCTGCTGCTGCTACTGCTGCAACTGCTGCTGCTGCTGCTGCTGCTGGTATGAATACTCCTATTAGGGTCCTGCAAAAAGGGGAGAAAAAAATGAAAGTCACACTAAATTGCAATACAGAGTCAAAAGCAGTTTCCTCGCATTCAACCCACACAAAATGAGTGGAAATAGGCTGTGTGAGAAACATAGAGAAGGAGGGCTACTATGGATCAAGAAATTTAACGAGGCAAGCTGTTGTCTTAATCATGACAAGTATGGCATTCTACACATTTCGATTCAACAAATGTTCGCAAAACATTTGTTCTAGGAGATACAGACATGGATTACACATAGTCCTGCTCTCAATAACTGTGACATTATCTATATCTATGATTCACAGTTGCTGTAAGAGCCACCTATACAGTGCTATGATAACAAATAGAAGAGGGCAAGTAATTCTGTTGGAGGGATGGGGGGAAAATTCAGAAATTTAAAAGAATTAATGACTGCATTATGTCTTCAAGGAGAAGCAAGTGATTACTAGAAAGAGAAAAATGAAAAGGTACTTGGAGTCATAGCAAGTCGCCAGAGATCCAAGATGGCAGAGCAGATGAACACTGCGCTTGACGTCTCCCATGACCACATTACAACTACAACTAAATTATAGAACAATCAACCTGGAGAACCATCTGTAGTCTAGACAAATGAAGTTTTATAAGTAAGGATATAAAGAAGAAGCCACACTGAGACTGGAAGGAACAGTGGAGATGCAGAATGGGCCAGCTCAAACATGTGTGTAGCGGTTGAGAATCGGGAGGGATATCTTGGCTGCCAGGATCCCCATGGAGGAGCAAGGGACCCTATCCCCACACTGGGCTTCCCAGCCTCGCAACAGGCTCCCCAGCTCAGAGTAACAATGCTAGTGCCAGGAAGAGGAGCCCCCACAACATCTGGCTGTGAAAAACAGTGGAGATTCTGACTGTCCATGTAAGTCAGAAAGCTGCAGGAAACCCAGATGTCTTCTTCTTAAAGGGCCCACACACTGACTCTCCCAGGCACTCATCCTGGTGTCTAGAGGAGGAACAGTGACTCGGGAGGTGTCAGAGACATACAAAGAGAGGCTGACTTATGTGGCTTCAAATCAAGGTTGGAGGGACAGTTGCGATTTTTCCTGTGTAAAATCCCTCTCCTGTGCAGCTGGCAGGAGGGCTCCACCTTTCCTGTGTTGCGCCCCCTGCACCAATAAGGCTAAATCTGAATCTGCATTACCCCAGGTAACTCCACTCGCTCCACCCTGGTGACTCCCTGAAACCCCACCCCACTCTACTTGTGCAACACTGGAGGCACTTTCTCTGCAAGCAATCAGGTTGCCCATGTTGCACTTTTTCTTGACCAACTTGTGGGGGTCTGCGGGCCTCAGGCAGTGGCTGGCCTCAGTGTGCTCTGACTATGTGCAGGCTCAGCACTGGCACCAAACCAAAATCTACCTTAACTTGGTGAACACCACTTATCCCACCCTGGTGGCTCCCTGAGACCCCACCTCACTTAACTCAAGCACTGCACAAGGATCTATCAGTGGTTGAGTCTTAAGGAAGCTGGCAGGTGGCAGCAGCCTCAAGGTGCCCTGGGATTTTTGTGGAGCTACCCCAGGCCCATTACTGGTGGCAGCCATCTTCGGTTCACAAGGTGGCCTCTCCCACATGCCTCCAAATCCAGCACAGGCAGCAAACAACCGAGGATCAAACTGTAGCTCGTACCAGGTAGTCCCTGGCCGGTCACAGGCAGTGGCTGACCTGGACCTGCACCACAGCCCCTCCCAATAGGCCCCAGAACCAATGTACCTAAAGGCTGGCTTCAGACCACAGCAGGACATGACCTAATTAGCCCCACAAGCAGCACACTGATGGTCAGTCTCAGCAGGCACCAAAGCCTGCTGGGGCAAATCCTGCTCCAAAGGGTAAGGCCCCTACACAGTAGTTCATAAGCTGTGGATGTCAGTCAGCCTGAGGGTCAATCCTACCCACTGACATGTTAATAGCAATCAGTGCCCAACTATAATAAGAGTGCTACACAACACACACAAGACACACTCCTGGAGCACCTGGCGCAGGTAACAAGGGAGACTGTGCCACTGGATCCCACAGGGCACCTACTACATAAGGCCATCTGGCCAAGACTGGGAGACATAAATCAACCTAGACACGCAGAAACAAACACAGAGTGGCAGCCAAAATGAGGAGACAAAGAAACATGTCCCAAATAAAAGAATAGGAAAGAGCTCCAGAAAAAGAACTAAACAAAATGGAGGCAAGCAATCTACCAGATACAGAGTTCAAAACACTGATTATAAGGATGAAGGAAATTAGTGAGAACTTCACCAAAGAGATAGAAAACATAAAAATAGAGATAGAAACCATAAAAAAGAACCAGTCAGAAGTGAAGAATACAATAACTGAAATGAAGAATGCACTAGAAGGAATCACCAACACACCAGATGAAGCAGAGGATCGAATCAGCAATTTGGAAGACAAGGTAGCAGAAAACACCCAATCAGAACAGCAAAAAGAAAAAAGAATTCAACACACAAAAAAAATGAGGATCACTTAAGAGACTTCCGGGAAAACATCAAGCATAACAACATTCACATTACAGGAGTACCAGAAGAAGAACAGAGAGAGCAAGGAATTGAAAACCCATTTGAAGAAATAATGATGGAAAACTTTCCTAACCTGGCGAAGGAAATAGACATACAAGCCCAGGAAGTGCAAAGACTCCCAAACAAGAAGAACCCAAACAGGCCCACATCAAGACACATTATAATTAAAATGGCAAAGTTTAAAGACAAAGAAATAATCTTAAATGATGCAAGAGAAAGGAAACTAGTTACTTACAAGGGAGCTCTCATAAGATTGTCAGCTGAATTGTTTATCAACAGAAACTTTGCAGGCAAGAAGGGAGTGGCAGGAATTATTAAAAGTGATGAAAAGCAAGGCCCTACAACCAAGACTACTCTACCTAGGAAGGCTATAATTTAAAATTGAAGGAGAGATAAAGAGCTTCCCAGACAAGAAAAAGCTAAAGGAGTTAATCATCACCAAACCAGTATTAGAAGAAATGTTAAAGAAACATCTTTAAGAAGAAAAAAAGATTAAAAAATATGAATAATAAAATTGAAATAACTACATACCTATCAATAATCACTTTAAATGTAAATAGATTAAATGCTCCAATCAAAAGACACAGGATAGCTGAACTGATAAGAAAATAAGACCCATACATATGCTGTCGCCAACAGACCCACTTCAGACAAAAATACACACAGACTGAAAGTAAAGAAATAGAAAAAGACATTTTATGCAAATGGAAACAAAGAAACAAAACAAAAACTGGAGTAACAATACTTATATCAGACAAAGTAGACCTTAAAACAAATGCTACAATAAGAGACAAAGAGGAACATTACAAATAAAGAGATCAATCCAATAAGAGGCTATAACCCTTGTAAACATTTATGCACCAAACATAGGAGCACCCAAGTATATAAAGCAAATATTAAATGACATAAAGAGGCTGACAGTAATATAATCATAGTAGGGACTTTAACACCCATTGACCTGAATGGACATATCTTTGAGACAGAAAATCAATAAGAAAACAGGAACCTTAAATGACACACTAGAGCAAATAGACGTAATGGATATTTTTAGAGCATTTCATTCCAAAGCAGCAGAACATACTGTATTGTCATCTATAATGCACACTTTTTTGCCTAAATTTGTGAGAGAAAAATAAGGATGCACTTTATACACGGGTAGTACTAACTCTGTATCTATATAAATTTTTTTATTACTTTTACTTATGCTTATGAGTTAAAAGTGTAACTCTAGAAATCAATAATGATATCCATATGCAAAATACCCTGAAATAGGATAACAGATTTTGCTGAACTTACAACGAACTTGCAACGATGACAAGTTCTTGACCTTCTATGATGTGTAAATATCATAAATTTGTTACCAGTACATAAAATTTCTTGTACCTTGTATCTGTTCTTGTGTTTTGTAATTATTTGTTACATAAAATTTCTTGTACCATAATATGTTAAAAAATAAAGGCTAAAACTCCTTTATAATACAAAAAACAAGTACCTAAATGTGAACAAATAAAAATTTGAAATAAAAAAGTAAAACAAAAGAGTTTTTTCCCTGAAAGTTTGGACCAAAAACGTAGGTGTGCATTACACACAGGAGCACATTATACATGGCGAAACATGGTACATTCTTTTCAAGGGCACATGCAACATTTTCCAAGTTAGACCACAAATTAGGATACACATCAAATATCAATAAATTTAAGAAGACTGAAATCATATCAAGTGTCTTCTCTGACTATAATGGTATGAAACTAAAAATCAATTACTGAAAAACACTAAAACACACAAAAAAATGGAGGCTAAATAACATGCTACTAAATAATGAATGTGTCAACAATGAAATCAAGGAACAAATCAAAAGATACCTTGACACAAATGAAAACGAAAACACAAAGACCAAAAATCTGTAGGACACTGTGAAAGCATTCCTAAGAGGGGAATTCAGGCCTACTTCAAGAAACAAGAAAAAAATCTCACCTTACACTTAAAGGAACTAGAAAAAGGACAGCAAGCAAAGCCTAACATAAGTAGAAGGAAGGAAATAATAATGATCAGAATAAACAAAACAGAGTCTAAAAAAATCAATACAAAAGATTAATGAAACCAAGAACTGTTTCTTTGAAAAGATAAATAAAATTAATAAATGTTTAACCAGACTAATCAAGAAAAAAAAAGAGGACTGAAATAAATAAAATCACAAATGAAAGAGAAATGACAACTGACACCACAGAAATGCAAAGAAGAATAAGAAAATATTATAAATAATTGTATACCAACAAATTGGACAATCTGGAAGAAATGGACAAATTCCTAGAAACATACAATCTTCCCAGACTGAATCAAGAAGAAACAGAAAATCTGAACTGACAAATTACTACTAATGAAATCGAATTAGTAATTTAAATAACTTCCAACAAACAAAAGTTCTGGACCAGATGG